GCTGCTCTTAAAACGAGGGGCTTTACATTACACCGGTGCGAGAGCACAAAGGCCGACAGTCTCGAGCTCTCCGGTCGCGGGCTTTTATTCCCGCGGTCTAGAGGGAGGGAGCGACTCTCTTCTGGCCTTTCACTCCGTTCTGCACCGCCACGTCCCGCATGAGCCCCAGTCTAGGCTTTCACCAGCTAAATGAAGACCTGACCCGGTACCGGAACAGGCGAGTGGAGGAATACGAGCGGATAAAAAACGACTGTGCTTCCGCGCGCCGTGACGGAAGCGTGACCCAGCGGTGTGTGGCACATCCCGGTGCTGCACTGCCGTGAGAGCGAGTGTGTGACAGCAAGAGACACTGGGACAAATGGACGTACAAACTATAGGCTATATATGTGTTTGTGTGTGTGTCTCATTTTGTAAACTCAACTAGTACAGATATTGAGAATGAGACAGATGCCAAATAAAAAAAATTTAAAAAGTAAAATATTTACACATTTTAAAATATTTTTTTAATAGCTACTTTTACAATTGTAAATACATTTCCCCCCCCAGTTTCACAAACAAGGCTTAAGGCTAGTCCCAGACTAAAATGCATGTTTTAGCAATCTCTATACTGAAAATAACTTGCACTGACATATCGTAAATTATGTCAGTGCCATTGTTTTGTCTCAAGATGCGCACCTGTAATGTTTATTCCTAAGGCATTTTTATAAAAGCTGCTTAAATATCCTAATTTAACTAACGCCTAGTCCTGGCTTAAACTAAGCTATTAAAACTAATAATTTTTTTCAATTTTTAATATATATATATATATATTTTTTTTATTATTATTATTAAATAAAAATGTATTATTAAAGTGTACTTATTTATAATTAAATTAAAACAAACATTTAAATAAATTGCAATGTTTACAATTTGGGTTGAATTTCAGAATTACTGTAAATTGTAAAATGATCAAATCTAGATGTGTGTAATAGCTAAAGAAAAAAATACAATAGAAAATACAATACAATGAAATAAAAAAATACAATTAATAAAAATATATATAGAAGTGTGTACACTTGCTTATTCATTAGGCTATTACTTTAGTTTAGTTTATTACTTTTTATAATGTTAAAAATCACTTTTGCAAATATTGTTAATCTATGTTAGTTGATTTCGATTTATTGTTTGTCATTTCTAAATAAAACTGACACCTTTGTCAGCCTTTTGTAAAACATACGGTTTTAAACTAGGCTGGTTTCAAAGTTAATAAAGATTATTCAGACAAAAATGCTTATCATAAAAATAATCATCATCAATAAGCTGTTGATCATGATTATTTTCTTTAATTTAGGCTACCTAATACTGAATTTGTGATTTTTAAACACACACACACACAAAAAAAAATTTGCACAAAAACTCCAGCTCTGCTTGCATATATTCTAAAGATGGGAACAAGAAAATAGAAACATGGAACAGGCTTGAACAGGCTGATTTTATCAAACATTATTTTATTTATTTATGTTGCAGTAATTAATAACAAGACAGTTATATCTATACATTTTCTGTGATCCTTGGACGAGTTACACAAAGTTTCATGCTCAGATCACTAACCCTAAATATGAACAATTTGTGACCCTGGAGCACAAAACCAGTCATAAGGGTCAATTTTTTGAAATTGAGATTTATACATCATCTGAAAGCTGAATAAATAAGCATTGATATGGTTTGTTATGATAGGACAATATTTGGCCGAGATACAACTATTTGAAAATCTGAAAAAATCTAAATATTGAGAAAATCACCTTTAAATTTGTCCAAATGAAGTTCTTAGCAATGCATATTACTAATCAAAAATTACGTTTTGATATATTTACAGTAGGAAATGTACAAAATATCTTCATGGATTGTGGTCTTTACTTAATACCCTAATGATTTTTGGCATAAAAGAAAAATCAATAATTTTGACCCATACAATGTATTTTTGTCTATTGCTACAAATATACCCCAGCGACTTAAGACTGGTTTTGTGCTCCAGGGTCACATATAATAGTGATGTCAACATTAGCAGAAATGTCACTATTATAGACTTGACACATCAGAAAAAAAGCCTAATGAGCTTTACAGTAATCGCCTCTTCCCACACACTTAGCGATAACCGTGATTTAAGACACATAAAGCCCTGTTGAGTGTGCTTTGCATATTTCCTTGTGTGGCCTCCTGTCTGCTACCGCTAATCAGTTCCTGACAGCCCACGCATTCAAATGGATCTGTCCTCTTCCGCACAGATATATGCCCACAGACAGGAAGTTTCCCTAAACCTGCGGCCCTAGCTCAAGGAAGAGCTGTTTCCAGCGCGGCCGAGGACACCATCCATCCAGCAGGACCACCAACAATAGCCGCATTGTTCCGCGTGTCTGCAAGGAAACACAGCCTACAGAGAGATGCCATTGTTTTGTGTAATGTTACCTGTGATTCGATAAATGATAGCGGCCCGTGTTTTTGTGGTAGGAATGTGCAAATATATCACTGCTGGTTTCTGGCACGGGCTTGGCTCAAGAGAAGCAGGAAAGCAGAAACCTTTTTATTTAAGAACAGCATTCCTGGCAAAGAGAGAGAGAGAGAGAGAGAGAGAGAGAGAGCTGTTCTCAGGCAAACAATACATTGGGATCTCTGGAAGAAGCTGCGATACGCTGCCAGGCGTTGTCATTGAAGGTGCCTGCAGCCGGATTGAGATAACACGGCACGGGATGAGCTTTCCTCTCAAGCGGCGCCAGAGCTTTGGTTTGGTTTTTTTGGTTTTGGTATATTTACAAAACAGTGAGATATGAGCCTGAGATCACGGGGAAACCTGAAGCCATGCATCACACAAGCTTCCCACACCTTAACATCAGTGCAGCTTCCTTTGTGATTGCTGGAGTAGGGTTTTAAAAACTGAGCATCAACATTTATGCTTGCTAGAGAAATTGACAGGACTTTGTAAAGATTGTATTAATTACCAGAATATTTCCAGGCTTGGAAAACACAATTATAACAAATTTCATAACTGGGAACCCCAATCAATTTGGAGCTATTTTATCTTATCATCAAGTGACTGATTTATCAATAAAAAATGCTAAATTAATAAATTCATGCATCATGAATAAATGTTATAAATACGCTCTATTATAATAAAGTAATAACCGTTGATTAAAAGAGAAAGTAATTTCGACCTGTTCCTCAGTTTGTAAAAGCTATAAATAAATAAATGAATAAATATAAATACAAATATAAATAAATATACTATACTATAATAAAATAATAACAAAAAAACAAACAAACATATAAATTACTATAGTAATTTTTTATATGTTTGATAATCAGTTATTTATAATAAAATAAATAACGGATTACGAACAGAAATAAATGTGCACCTTTTCATCAGTTTATAAAAGCATAAATAAATAAAAACAAATGAAAGAAAAATGAAAGTCATTCTAAATGCAGAAATGTGATTTCATATCAATTAGATGGTGCAATACGTTTTTAATATGGATGAACTGATAATGCAGGTGGTGTTTGTTTTGGAAGATAAATTAATGTTGCACTAACAAAGGAAAAAAATGTATATATACAGTGGGTACGGAAAGTATTCAGACCCCCTTAAATTTTTCACTCTTTGTTATATTGCAGCCATTTGCTAAAATCATTTAAGTTAATTTTTTTTCCTCAATGTACACACAGCACCCCATATTGACAGAAAAACACAGAATTGTTGACATTTTTGCAGATTTATTAAAAAAGAAAAACTGAAATATCACATGGTCCTAAGTATTCAGACCCTTTGCTCAGTATTTAGTAGAAGCACCCTTTTGATCTGATACAGCCATGAGTCTTTTTGGGAAAGATGCAACAAGTTTTTCACACCTGGATTTGGGGATCCTCTGCCATTCCTCCTTGCAGATCCTCTCCAGTTCTGTCAGGTTGGATGGTAAACGTTGGTGGACAGCCATTTTTAGGTCTCTCCAGAGATGCTCAATTGGGTTTAAGTCACGGCTCTGGCTGGGCCATTCAAGAACAGTCACAGAGTTGTTGTGAAGCCACTCCTTCATTATTTTAGCTGTGTGCTTAGGGTCATTGTCTTGTTGGAAGGTAAACCTTCGGCCCAGTATGAGGTCCTGAGCACTCTGGAGAAGGTTTTCGTCCAGGATATCCCGGTACTTGGCCGCATTCATCTTTCCCTCAATTGCAACCAGTCGTCCTGTCCCTGCAGCTGAAAAACACCCCCACAGCAGGATGCTGCCACCACCATGC